GCACGGTCGCACCCTAGGCTATCGTGTGTATGTATAGTGGATCCTCTTGCCTAAATCACGCGTCGTGGCGTGCGTTTGTTTACACGCTGTTGTTGAAAACAAATCTCATCACGGTGCCCCCAACTCGTAGCTTTGGGGGACAAGGCCCCCCCCCCCCTACTGTCCAACACGCCGCTGGTAGCGGCGTTCCCTGGCGATGGCCGTGCGCTCGACGTCACTCGACGTCCACGAGGTTTTTTTTGTTGGGTTAGATCGCGTAAATATGTAAATGTGTCGTTTAACCCGCCACCACCCGACACGGCCAATTAGTAAGGTTTGTGTCACGTAAACAGAACGTGGCCAATTCGTCACTAGTGCAGCACTAACCGGTTGTGTGTTGGAGAGCAAAGCCACAACGTTTACAATCTGAGTACGACGTTTCGCCAGTAATTACAACTAGCTTCATCAGGCGACAGTCAGATTTTACGCGATCTAACGAAAAAAAACCCTCTTATGGATGATATTGGTCGCGTGATAAACTTTACTCGAAGTGCTCCTGGCGGAATAGCCACGTGACTTTCTGCGTATTGAACGATTTAGAATCCGAAAATGTAATTAGTTCGTTTTTCTTTTTCCCGGAAAAATAAAATATCGCAATGGATATCAACAAACTATTTTTTGCTAAATACTGTATGTATGGATTTGTATACATTCCAAAAGATGAGGTTTAGCACATTTACCGACTTTTCAGAGAAGTACACCGCCAACCACTGTCCAGTATTGTTCTTTAGGACTCAACAATCCTCTGCTTGCTAAGGACGGACTGGGCACTGGCATGGGAATGTGGAATTACCACCGCTGTCTCAGCTCCACCAACAGCGAGAGACAAGCAAGATCCAGCGCTCCCCCAGACTCCACATTCCACACGCGATTCCGGTGCGCGCGTTAACCTTGTTTACCAATCATCAGGCGTGTGTGGCAGGGAGGGGCAACACTGGAAAACAGGCAGGGCACGACCACCGCGGTGGGGAGCGAGGACTGGAGCTTGGGGGGCCAAGTCCAGATTCACTCAGCATCGTCACAACGTGGAGGAGACCTACATCCAGCAGTTTATACATTTATAGAAGGCTGGGAAATAAGAATGTTTTGGTTTGTAATATTCACTCGGAGGTGGGGGGGGGGGGTGGAACGATGCATCGATTCATCACGTCGAATCGCGCGAGAAACGAGCGTCTGTGTTCGTACGCGTTGTTAAGTAACGGGGTTCACGCGATCCACAATGGGATCGCGTGAACCCCGTGACACCCGCCACAGCACCACCCGACGCAGCCAATTAAGTGTGGTTCGTCACGTCAACGAAACGTGGCCAACTCGTTACGAGTTGAGCACACAACGGTGGTGCGTCGGAGGGTGAGCCCACGACAACATTTACACGTGACCCCAGCAGCCACAAGAGGCGCCACCATGCACCAAAATTTAAACGTGACGCTCCAATATTGTATCGTGATGAGGCCAGCGACATGGGGGGGGGGGGCACCTTTAATTGCCGGTATCAAATAATAAGAATGGGGTTTACCTTTTTCTGGCAATAAAACAGGAGGTGTTAAGATGTTCAAACACCAAACAGAAACCTTTTGCAAGAATCACGTCCGCATTAACCACACAGTTACTGGTGGTGAACATGCAAAAAAAAACAACATGCTCTGGTAATACGATGGGCATTGTCTTTGAAGCTAAATGGGTCGACGCCAGAGGCGGCAGCCTTCTTCAGGGCCTCGTCTCAACCAGTGTTAGACCAGAGGACAACGCCTAAAGGCGAACAGCACAAAGACATTGAATCGGTGGGGTTGGGGGTGTTAAGAGGGGGCGGGCAGAGGGCAGAGGGGACATCGTTCCAATCGGAATATTTACAATCAGTCGCTGCTTCACGTCGCCACGACTGTCCTGTGAAGGTGTCGTCAATAAACCATCATCGGCCACCCATTGAGCCAAGGCGGCGGTCACCGCATCATCATCGCGCGGCGCTTTCAGACGCGCTCCTGCGGCCGTCTGGAACGCTCTCCCTTCCGATATTAGGGAGCCACTGGGAGCTATGCAGCTTTTAAATCGTCGTCATCGTCTAGATTGACAAACTCATTTCTTTAGAACAGTTGTTGTGTATGTGTCTAGTTTGTCGTACTTCCACCGCACCTCCGATTAGCTACGGTTGGCGACGTACGCTGAGAAAGAATAATTTCAACATACGCGCGTCAATGATTGTCTAATGAGGGACCAATCCCCCTTGCCATAGAAATGTGGAATTTCCAGCACAGGCTCATTGAACCATTGACGAGGACGATCCAGCCGAGGGCCCGTTTGAATGTCGGGAGCGAGCGGTGCACATTTGTACAAATAAACACGACCCGTTCAGTTTTGGTGAAGTATGGTTAACACCCCCCCCCCGCAACGACGACTGAGTATACAATTACATCGATTATCCGCGGGGATGCGGATTACCCGACATGCTGGATCCATACACTGATGGAACGCCTTCAAGCGCTCGCTGGTTTAAGAGCTGGGCTTGCCGCTCCTCACTTGTCGAGGATCGGTGGCGACTCGGCAAACCCCCCCCCCCCCCCCCCCCCCCCCCCCCCCCCCCACGATTGACAGGACACTGGCACGGGGAGGGAGGCCTTCATCCAGCAGTAGATTGGCAAAACGCCTGGCAGGCAGGAATCATTCAAAACAAGTATGGGTTGGGACCAATGACATTCTGTGCATTTCCAATATGTGTCAATAATAGGGCCCTTCAATGGAAATAGGATAATTGATTTCCTGTAAATTCATAATTATACAATAGACAGTAAGATGATTAAAATAACATTAAACTGAAACAGGTTTTATTTTACCAGGTAAGGCCCACTGAGCTATCCATAATATAGCTTTTTTTGGGTTAGATCGCAAAAATATAAATGTGTCGTTAAACCCGCCACCACCCAATACAGGCAATCAGTAAGGTTTGTCACGTAAACAGAACGTGCCAATTCGTTACTTGTACAGCACACCGGTGTGTTGGAGAGCAAATGCACAACATTTACAATCTGAGTACGACGTTTCGCAAGTAATTACAACTAGCTTCATCAGGCGACAGCCATATTTGTGGAGAAATCCTCCTGTTTCTGTCCTTAGAGGGATAGATTTCATGATGTCACTAGTTGGCTCTTCACGGGGGATTACACATTCATATTTACGCGATCTAACCCAAAAACTTATATTGTGGATATTGGTTGCGGAAGCCCACTGAGCTGCTGTATAGCTCTTTTTAGAAGCGACCTAGCTATCATAAATGATAGCTCAACGAAGTGCCTTACCACGTGGAAATGTAACGCAGCCAAATACTCTTAAACGTGTGTTGTTGATTCTAAATGTGGAGGGAAAAACCAGAGGACCCGAAGAAAAATCCACTCGACCACAGGGAGAACATGCAAACTCCAAATATACAACAGGCGTCAGGGTCGGGATCGAACCGATGACCTCCTGTATACCAGGCGAGATAGTTAACATCTCACCACCATGGTGATGATGAGACACGCAGACTCCAAATAAAGAGCAGGCGTCAGGGTCGGGATCGAACTCACGATCTCCTGTATACCAGGCGAGGTAGTTAACATCTCATAGCCTACCGTGGTACAATGGCAGCCGAGGATTGTAACGGCTCTGAGGTCTCGTCCACATAGGAGACGGAGCAATGAAATCAACTCGTGCGAGCTCGGCGCTTCGTTATGTCGCAGGACCGTCTACGGATGTGCTGGATTGGCAAGGCCTTCATCCAGCAGTGGATGGACAAAAGATGCCGTGCCGGGTCACGTGGGCTTAGCTCAAGGTCAGACCTGAGTTGCGTTCAAGGACTGTCAAGAGGGAGAAGCGACGATTCCCGTTCAAACATTTTTCAAGCCAAAGCATAAAAAATCTACGCGACTGCACGGACGCATTGATGCAAGGTAAACTCACACAACAACAACAACAAAAAGTCGATTTCGGTCGATGACATTTTAAATGTCCGGTTGTTTTTTGTTCATTCCGCCTTGCAGGAAGTTAAAAACCCCGTCAGCGCGTCGTCAATGACACCGCTGTGCGTGGCAGCTCAGACGAAACAAAGGTGTACGACGAAATGATGACGTTTCAGGCAATGGCCCTTCCAAGAGAGTGGATAATTGGACGGGAATAGGAAAATCAACACCTCGTGCATAGACGCAAAATGGACGCGTTTTTCTTTTCAAGGCCCTGTCGCATTCCTTGTTAATAAATGCGCAAACCCATCATCTTAACGAGCGGTACGATTCCGGACGAACCGATGCACTCCGCTCACGATAAATCGCATGGCGAACCCTATATTGTGACGTCACGATTCAGGGTCGCCATGCGTTTGTGACGTCTGGATTCAGGGTTGCCATGCAACCGTGACGTCACGAATCAGGGTTTCCATGCGATTGTGGCGTCCACGCTCATTTTGTCGTGTAACATTGGCGTCTCAATTACAGAGGGGTTCACTCGGCTTGCCTAATTATGCAATATTACCATATTCTGTGCATACAATTTGCATACATCATAAGTGATTGATTACAGTGAACGCTTCGACACGCGTATCGCGAGTGCGAGAACTAACATTTAGCGATGAATCAACGCATCGTCGGTGCCTGGTAACCACGGTGGACGGTTGAACAGGTCCGCGGATTGCTGATGAGACGTAGCGCGAGCGAAACCGATGCGGCCATTTTTTTTTAAAAGAAACGCTTTTAGGAAACTGGAATCGCGTAAACCACTGACGACGTCCAACGGGACGAAACTGCCTCTCACTTCCGCGACGACACGAACCGCGCAGTCTTGTCGACGCATTTTTATTGTCACCACCGTTTGGCACACAACGACAAAGATCACCCGTGTAGCCTTAACAGACTGTTGGGGGGCAAGTGCTGTTAGCGAGCAGCACCTATGAAGGCCGGCAAGGTACACGGAGGGGGTGGGTGGCCAGCATCACGCCCGGCCGCCTTTGTCTCCCCCGTGCCCATGTTTACACAACGCACCAGGCATTCATTTTAGGCTGAGTCGACCTAAAGGAGGCCCAGGACCGGTTCGGATAATCGTCACCACTGTTGGCCGTGAGTTCGAATCGAACTCTGGGTGGTTGGCGACGTTTCACCGCGGTGCGAGCGACGTCGACAAGCGGCGCTTAAACCTAACTCCCCGGAAAACTTGGGGGTGGGGGGGGGGGACGAGGGGGGCACTTAAATGGCCTCAAGTAAAACACCGGCGTGGCCTCGCTGGTAAAACCTCCAGAGGTCCAAACGCCTGATCAAATGGTGGAACGCTCCGCGAATCACCATCACCATCCTCACCAGCGCGCGCGCGCGAGCGAGCGATCACACACACACACACTCGCACACTTATGTGCGTGTCACAGCAGCCCTTACACGGTCACGCCAGTCCTTAGCAGACAGAGACTCTTCATAGACAGAGAGAGACAGACACGGCAATATCAACGTGGTGCAGCGCGGTTGGCATTGTGCCCTGGTACAATTCTCTCTGAATGTCTTCCCTCTTCTGGAGCCTGTCGCCTGGGCCCGCTTCGGCCCCTGGTCTCCCTCCGATCCCTGGGCCCCCTCCAAGCTGTGGGCCTCCTCTGGCCCTTGGGCCCCTCCAACCTATCGGCCCCCTCCGGCCCTGGGCCCCCTCCGGTCCGTGGGCCTCCTCTAGCCCGTGGGGCCCGGTGCAGTTGCACCATCTGCGCTCACCTCGACAGCTACGCCCGGGGCCGGAGGCCAAACCTCCTGACGCTACAAGCTGCACGGCAACGTGTCACGTGGCCGAGAAAGAAAGATACATTTTGTTCCTAGAAGTGTGTGGGGCCGGGGGTGGGTGAGTTTATCCCTTCCCGGTTCCGACGACGTACATTGTGTACGTCATCAAAACGGAACCGGAAAAAAAAGAAAAACTTAAATAAAGTAACCTTATCGGTACTGAGGCTCTCCCACAAGGCCATGTGGGAGGGCGCGTGGCACAGTTTTGGCTATCGTAGAGCGGCGGCCGGTCGTGTCGCTACGGTTTTCTGCGGTGAGTAACGTCTTCAAAAACAACGGCGCTACTATGGCTCTCTCTGAAAAAAATATACACCGAGGTGCGTTAGTTTGTGTGGTGCGGGACACCAAGAATGCCCGCAGAACAACCCCCGTGCACACAAAGGGGAGACTTTGACAACACAAAGGTTTGCGCAAAAACAAAGAAGATGAAGAAGAACGCCGCCGGACGCAGCGACGGAATACGCGTGCTCAGTGCTCCCGTGGGCCTACAGGACACACCACATCCACCGTCACCACCACCACCACCACGACCACGAACCCAAGCAGGAACCTCTTACCGTGCACGGCCATCGGAATCCGGCACGGGTTTTTCCATTGCTGCCCGCACTGGCGGCGTGGCCTGGCGAGTCTCTCCAACGCCGTGAGTTTGCCGGCCGGGGAACGAATTCGGCGAACGAAATCAAACGACGTGCGACGGATCGGGTTTCATTTTTTTCAATTATTCTTTTTTCTATCGGAGCAAGGATTTCAGCGCTGCTGCTGCTGCCGGACTGGGCCGACGGTTTCAAATTGACGGTTTGGCACGGGACACTCGACCGGCAGGCCCTACCTCTACTAACAAACAGCAAATGGACAACAGACCAACAGAACAATCTCGTAGCGGGTGGTGGCGCCTTCTAGAGAACAGACCGACGGGAGCGGACGACCTTTTTAAAACGCGAGCACCTTCCGATATCCGCCGCTTGGCTAGACAAGACGCGTGCACACACACGTGTGTGTGTGTACACACACACGTGTGTGTGTGTGTGTGCACGCTGCACGCTCGGTCTACTCGGCCCGGCATGGTCTGTGAGCGGCGGTGGCAGTGCGGCCTGCGGTCTCCGCCGTTCTGGCTTCTTTCTTTTTAAGCGCTCGCCGACGGCCGGGGGAGAAAACGATTGTCAATCGCCCCAGCAGCTCCATCCTCTGGCTCTGGGTTTGTGCGACCCACCCCCCCCCCCCCAGGTTTGTGCACCAGGGCTTACGCCTAAATCTTTTTTTATCGGAGGCTTCGGGGGTGGAGGGGGGGCCCCCCTCCCTTTCTGAAGCCTACCCCCCCCCCCACGGGTCCATTTCCTGAAGCCAACCCACGCGCGGCTAATATCCAGGGGGTGGGGGGCGTGGGGGGCGGAGGGGCACCAATACCCCGAGTGACGAGCCACGAAACCAAAACATCGCTCCTCAAATCTCGAAATCATCATCGCGCTCGCACGTGACTGTCGCACGTGAGTGGCCGTCCCCCCGTTTCTGTCCTCGCCCGAGGCGAGCGGCCGTGCGACCCGGGGGAACGTCTAAGCGACGGCGTACGGTCCGGGGATGGCCACGAACCGGCGCGCGCGCCTCTCCGGGCAGGCCGCCTGCCTCGACAAGCCGGGCGGCGTCTCTCGACCGCGGGGGCGACCGGCCGCGGCGACGGCTCGCAACCGGTTGCGGAGATGTCGGTTGCGCGCAACGGATCCAGCTTGAGACCAAAAGGGGGCAAATCTTAGCCGAACCACCGACGCGCCCGGCCCCCCCTCTCCACCAGCCCCCCGTGTGAGTGGACCCTGCCAGGACGTTGGCGAGACGCGCGGCTCCCGTCCACGCGAGTTTGTTTACGACGTACAAATTCACAACAACAACAACAATAGTGATGATGATATCAATAATCACGTGGAACAACGGACTCCGACTGGATTTGACCTGGCAGCCAGAGAGACCAGGGGCTCGGCAACCAAAACAACGAGGGCCATATTTTACTTAGGTAATAAATAAATAAACAACTCGATGCACTGCGGGTGAATACGACACAGCGGTCCTTCATCAACGACGTCACGAGGCGGTCCCTTAAAGAGCCACGGGTTGCCCACCCGCTGCTCGAGACGGTCGGCGGCTGGGATCCCGCCGGTTGGAAATCGGTGAGCGGGGCCGAGACGATGGAACGCCCTCGGCCGCCTGCCGTGCCGTACCGTGCTCGCCAACACCGACGAGGGAACGCGCGGCGGCGGCGGCGGCGGTGGCGGCGGCAACGGCGAGTGCCGGGGAGACGTGCGCTATGGAGCTGTACAAAAAGGGTAGAGGTGCGGGCACTCCGAAAATCGGTCGCCCGCCCACACGGAACGCTTGGGCAGCCCCCTGGGAGCGATTAACGCAGGGGGGGCAGAGAGGGCAGGGGGGGGGGGGCGGGGCGAGAAAAACACGAGGGGTGAGTCGCGCGACTCGCGAGTGGCGTGGGGGGGGGGGGCGTCCCCTGCGGTGAAAAACCGCCGCGGCCCTTCCAGCTGAATCCCCGCTGGGGCGAGCCGGCCGCGCTGGGCGCGGAGCGGCGCGGGTGGGAGGAGCGGCGCTGTCAGTGCGGGGCCCGGTAGGGAAGGGGCGGCGGCTGCCGTGACGACGAGGATGGCGAAGACGACGGAGACGGCGACGACCATGAGAGACGCCGCGCGACCGGCGGGCCGAGAAATGATTTTTTCTTGCCCTCTCTCTCTCTCTTCCCCATTTTGTCCCGAGGGTCAAAGGTCGGCGAGGGTCAAAGGCGGGCGAGGTCAATGTTCACATCGGAAGAGGAGGAGGAGGAGACATCGTCGAGTCCAGCGGAAACGGACGTCGAGCGATCGACGGTCCCCAGGTTGAGTTTCGTTACTTGAATGGCGGAAACAACAAAAACAAAGAAAGAATTGCCCACTCTGCAGATGCCACGAACGTCGGCGGCGCTCGGTGACCCGAGCAGGCCTCGGGGCCTAGGACGACTGGACTAGACTCGTGAGCCTCTTGGCGGTCAGCATTTTAGCCTGCGGGTTAAAAAAGGAAAATGGGGGGAAAACTTTCTTAGAATGTTTACGGGAATTTTTTTTTTAAAGACGAGCAGAATCGACCGGGCAATGGAGAGAGGTGCAGCCCTGCAATCGCGTAGCTCACGCCACAGCTGGTGAAAGGGCCTCCACTAGAGGGAGCTCTCGGGGGTATTAGACTCACACCTGGCAATAACTCAACACCTGGCAATAACTCAACACCTGTCAATAACTCAACACACACCGGTCAATAACTCAACACCTGTCAATAACTCAACATCGGTCAATAACTCAACACACACCGGTCAATAACTCAACACCTGTCAATAACTCAACACACACCGGTCAATAACTCAACACCTGTCAATAACTCAACACACACCTGGCAATAACTCAACACCTGTCAATAACTCAACACACACCTGGCAATAACTCAACACACACCGGTCAATAACTCAACACCTATCAATAACTCAACACACACCTGTCAATAACTCAACACACACCTGTCAATAACTCAACACCTGTCAATAACTCAACACACACCTGTCAATAACTCAACACACACCTGTCAATAACTTAACACACACCTGTCAATAACTCAACACACACCTGGCAATAACTCAACACCTGTCAATAACTCAACACACACCTGGCAATAACTCAACACCTGTCAATAACTCAACACACACCTGTCAATAACTCACACACACACCTGTAAATAACTCACACACACCTGTCAATAACTCACACACACACCTGGCAATAACTCAACACACACCTGGCAATAACTCACACACACCTGTTCAATATCTCAATACACACCTGGCCAATAACTCAACACACCTGTCAATAACTCAACACACACCTGGCAATAAGTCAACATACCTGTTAACACAGTAGCACAACCGCATTTAACTAAAACTAAACAATTTTTTTTTATTTTACCAGGGAAGGCTGACTGAATTGTATACCTCTTTTTCAGAAGCGACCTTGCCACAAATGATAGCTCAACGAAGTAGTTTATCATCGTGTGGAAATTTCTAGCAGCCAAATACCTCAAACGCACGATTTTGATTCTAAATGTGGACGGAAAAAGCAGAGGACCCGGAGAAAAGTCCACGCCACCACGGGCAGAGAGAGAGAGACACCGCAAACTCCACGTATACAGAGGCGTCAGGGTCGGGATCAACCCCACGATCTCCTGTATACCAGGGGAGGAAGATAACGTCTCCTCGCCACCCTGGGAGCCCCAACTTCATCCTTTCCAAGACGTCTGTAAGTTGCAGGGTGGGTGTCCCGTTCACCGACAAATCTCGGAACGTGCAAAGCAGCTCAGCGTTAATTTCATTTAGCGAGGCGTAGCAGCGCTTTTGTTACTCACCGCAGAGAACTGTAGTGACACGACCGTCACCGCTCTGGTAGCCGGCGCCAATGCTGTGCCACACTCACCCCTCTCCCGCACGCAATTCAATCAGAAGACCGATGGCGTGCGTCCTACGTGTACAAGTACGTCACCGGTACGGGCTCTCCAGAATCGACGCTTTTGTTGGGTTTGATCGTCCGTGTAAATACAATTGTGTCGGGTGGGGGTGCGAGTTTAATGACACATTTATATTTACACGGCGATCTAACACGAAACCCCCCCCCCCCTTAATTACAGATGATATTGGTCGCGAAAGCTCCGCTACAAACTTCTACAACCGCGAGTTCAACTGGGAAAGGGCTGACACTGTTTTTTGACAAATTTGCGTCGCGAAGTCCCTCGACCCGGCGAGGATCGTTTTAGCGATCGCGGGGCGAGCGATCACAGAGTGAACAAGCGGGTGATCACATAGCGGGCTATCACAGGGGCGGGCAAGCGTGTGGCGGGCGATCGCAGGGCCGCGGGCGGGGGCTCACCTTCTTCTTGGGCTGCAGCAGCTCCTGGTAGGCGTTGGAGCGCAGGAACCGTGCGTAGCTGTCGCACTTCATCAGCTTGTAGATCTGCTCCTGGACGGACGGGAGAGACGCGGGGGGGGGGGGGGGGGGGTGGTAACACACGCGGGCGGGGGTTCACGTTTTTTCGGATTCAGATGTCTTCACGCGAGGCCGGCGCAGTGACACCATTTCGGTCGTGGCTCGGCTCGGTAAAGACAAAGATCCCCCCGTGTGGCCTTAAGAGACTGTTGGGGCGAGCGCTGTCAAGCGAGCAGCAGCGCCCGTGAAGGCCGGCACGGCACACGAGGGGGCGTGTGGTGAGAAACACCACGCCCCGGGCCGCCTTTGTCTCCCCAGTGGCGACGTTTACTACGCACCGCCCCAGATACTCATTTCAAGGCTGAGTCGATCTAGGGGGAGGCCCCAGGACCGGTTCAGATATAATCGTCACCGGTGTTGGTGGCCATGAGGGGGAATCGAACTTGGGCCCGGTGGGTTCAGTAGCGCGGTACGGCTAAACCTCTACCCTACCAGGGGCTTTGGGAGAGAAGGGAGTGAGGCCGAAGGGGGTGAGAGAGAAGCCGTGGGGGGCTTGTGGGGGGTGGGGGTAGGGTGGGGGGTGGGGTGGGGGGCGTGGCTGACCTGCGCCTCCTCGAAGGTGTAGCGGCCGGGGTCCTGCACGCTCTGCGTGGTGCGGTCGTAGCTCTGTGAGTCCAGGTTGATGGGGCTCGGGGCCCCGGGCGCCAGGAACTCGCCCCAGATCTCCTGCACGCGGGGGGCCACCTCGCGCACCGCCCTCCGCTTCACCTCCTGCACGGCCAGCCAGAACCTGCCGCACGCCAAGCCTAAGGTCCCCCGTGTAGCTTGCGGGGGTCGCGCCGCGGGGGGGTCGCGCGTGGGGGTCGCGTGTGGGGGTCGCGTGTGGGGGTCGTGTGTGGGGGTCGTGTGTGGGGGTCGCGTGTGGGGGTCGCGTGTGGGGGTCGCGCCGCGGGGGGTCGCGTGTGGGGGTCGCGTGTGGGGGTCGCGTGTGGGGGTCGCGCCGCAGGGGTCGCACACCGGGGTCGCGGTGGCGGGTGCTGTAATTCCACGGCTCTCGTCTTATAGGCAACTGGACCGGCATTGTTAAAGAAATGTCGAAGGTCACGGAAAGATCAAGTTCACAGCACTCGCCGGTTGACGAACAAGCACAGAATCAGAACGAGTACAGAATCAGAACGAGCACAGAATCAGAACGAGCACAGAATCAGAACGAGTACAGAATCAGAACGAGTACAGAATCAGAACGAGCACAGAATCAGAACGAGCACAGAATCAGAATGAGTACAGAATCAGAACGAGTACAGAATCAGAATGAGCATGCGATCAGAACGAGTACAGAATCAGAACGAGAACAGAATCAGAACGAGTACAGAATCAGAACGAGAACAGAATCAGAACGAGAACAGAATCAGAACGAGTACAGAATCAGAACGAGAACAGAATCAGAACGAGCACAGAATCAGAACGAGTACAGAATCAGAACGAGTACAGAATCAGAACGAGCACAGAATCAGAACGAGCACAGAATCAGAATGAGTACAGAATCAGAACGAGTACAGAATCAGAACGAGCATGCGATCAGAACGAGTACAGAATCAGAACGAGAACAGAATCAGAACGAGTACAGAATCAGAACGAGAACAGAATCAGAACGAGTACAGAATCAGAACGAGAACAGAATCAGAACGAGAACAGAATCAGAACGAGCACAGAATCAGAACGAGCACAGAATCAGAACGAGCACAGAATGAGGTCAGTCATAAGGTCACACTCGTTACACACACAAAGTGCTTTTGCCATAAATGAACCACAACACCTGGCCGATCTCATCAAGGAAAGTAAACAGTCATCGGCTTTTGGCTGATCATCAAACAAAGACGGTGGTCACCGCATCGCGCGGCGCTCATCAGATGCGCTTCTGCGGCCGTCTGGAACGCTCTTCCAATATTGGGAAGCCACTGACAGCGATGCACTATTAAATTTAAATGGAAAACTCGCAACTCCGATTAGCACGGTTGGCTACGTAGGTTGCCAAAGAAGGTCAACATACATACATACAGCAGACTGCCGGGGCAAGCGCTGCGAGCGGGCAGCACCGTGTGAAGGCCGGGTCGTCGCGCAAGCGGGCGGTGTGCTCGGACCCGCACTCGAACACCTTTGTCTCCCCGGTGCCGATGTTAGGGTGCCACGGTGGCTAGGAGATGTTAACTACCTCGCTAGGTATGCAGGAGGTCGAGGGTTCGATCCTGACCCTGACGCCTGCTGTCTATTTGGAGATTGCGTCTCTCTCTCCCCGTGGTCGCGTGGATTTTTCTCGGTGTCCTCCGGTTTTCCCCTCCGCATTAAGAATCAACACCATGCGTTTTAGTGTATTTGGTTGCTATAAATTTCCACACGATAATGACAAGCCACTTCGTTGAGCTGCCATTTGTGTCCAGGTCGCTTCTGAAAAAGAGCTACATAGCTCAGTGGGGCCTTGCCTGGTAACATAAAAATGAAAAAATACATAATAGGATTTTCCCCTTTTTCTGGCAACAAAACTGAAACCTTATTACAAGGATTCATGTCTGCATTAACCACAATACCTGCAGTCAAAATTCAAACAAAAAACATACTATGATAATATATGCATTGTCCTTGAAACTGATTGGTCCACACCAAGGTACTGGCAAAAGGAGGTCTAATGAAAAAAATACATAGTTCAGTTTTACGCACCATGCCGGAAACAACGTGACCTTGCCAGCCATCACCCGGGGCCCGAGTTCGATTCCCACTCACGGCCAACACAAGTGACGATTATCTGAACCGGTCGTGGGCCTCCCCCCCCCTAGGTCGACTCAGCCTCAAATGAGTACCTGGTGTGTAAACATCGCAACTGGGGAGACAAATGCCGTCGGGCGTGGTTGCTGTCCACCCACCCCCTCGTGTGCCACAGTGCCGGCCTTCATAGGTGCTGCTCGCTAACAGCACTTGCCCCAACAGCCTGTTAAGGCTATACGGTGGTGGGGGGAATCTTTGTCTTTGGTGGCGGTGATGGTGGGAGAGCTATAACATTCGATCCCGGGGATTGCGCAAGACTGGCCGGTGCGTGCCCGGCGTGCAGATCGTTTGCCGTCCGGTCTATGCCGGGCGGAGGGGGCCGCTCACCGCAGGTTCTCGGAGCTGAACTCGGACTTGAGGAAGGTGAGGAACTGCTCGCGGCCGAGCTGGTCCTTGAGAACCTCGTCGATGGAGAAGCCCCACCGGCGCACGCGCTGCTGGCTCGGCTCCTTGCTGCTCGCGAGCCCGCACGAGCGACACGGACAACAGCGGCACGGACACCGTGAGTGAGCGGAGGGATTGTGAGTGAGTGAGTGGAGGGATCGTGAGTGGAGGGATCGTGAGTGGATGGATCGTGAGTGAGTGAGTGAGTGGAGGGATCGTGAGTGAGTGGAGGGATCGTGAGTGAAGGGATCGTGAGTGAGTGAGTGGAGGGATCGTGAGTGAGTGAGTGGAGGGATCGTGAGTGGAGGGATCGTGAGTGAGTGAGTGAGTGGAGGGATCGTGAGTGGAGGGATCGTGAGTGAGTGAGTGAGTGGAGGGATCGTGAGTGGAGTGATTGATTGGAGGAATCGTGAGTGAGTGAGTGAGTGGAGGGATCGTGAGTGAGTGGAGTGAGTGGAGTGAGTGAGTGGATGGATCGTGAGTGAGTGGAGGGATCGTGAGTGGAGGGATCGTGAGTGGATGGATCGTGAGTGAGTGGATGGATCGTGAGTGAGTGGATGGATCATGAGTGAGTGAGTGAGTGGAGGGATCGTGAGTGGATAGATCGTGAGTGAGTGGATGGATCGTGAGTGAGTGGAGTGAGTGAGCGGATGGATGGTGAGTGAGTGAGTTGATGGATCGTGAGTGAGTGAGCGGAGGGATCGTGAGTGAGCAGAGGGATCGTGAGTGAGTGGAGGGATCGTGAGTGAGTGAATGGAGGCATGATGAGTGAGCGGAGGGATCGTGAGTGAGTGAGTTGATGGATCGTGAGTGAGTGAGCGGAGGGATCGTGAGTGAGCAGAGGGATCGTGAGTGAGCGGAGGGATCGTGAGTGAGTGAATGGAGGCATGATGAGTGAGCGGAGGGATCGTGAGCGAGTGGAGGGATGGTGAGTGAGCGCATGGATCGGTAGCGAGCGGAGGGCAAAGGCTGCTGGACCGGTGATCGGTGCAGCGAGAGAGAGCGAGAGACGCTGCTGCACCACCTGCCGTCGTTGTCCCAGATCGCCGTATCGTCGGTCACCCAGGGGTTGGACGACTCCGGCGCCACGATGAGCGGATCGTACTCCGCGTAGTGCTCCGTGTAGCTGATGAGGCTACGTGCACGCACAAAGACAAAGATCCCCCGCGTAGCCTGAACAGACTCTTGGGGCGAGCGGCGTTCGCGAGCGGCGCCTGTGAATTCCGGCACCGTGGCACACGAGGGGCGTGGGCGGCCGAGTCGACCTAGGGGAGGCCCAGGACCGGTTCAGATAACCGTCACCGGTGTTGGCCGTGAGCGGGAATCGAACTCGGGTCGCTGGGTTCGAAGCGCAGGGCGCGAACTGCTGCGCTGGCGCTCCCCACACACACGTGCGCGCGCACGCACAGACTAACACACGCACGCACAGACTAACACAGGTGCACGCACAGACTAACACGCGCACGCACAGACTAACACACGCACGCACAGACTAACACACGCACAGACTAACACGCGCACGCACAGACTAACACACGCGCACGCACAGACTAACACACGCACGCACAGACTAACACACGCACAGACTAACACGCGCACGCACAGACTAACACACGCGCACGCACAGACTAACACGCGCACGCACAGACTAACACACGCGCACGCACAGACTAACGCACGCACAGACTAACACGCGCACGCACAGACTAACACGCGCACGCACAGACTAACACGCGCACGCACAGACTAACACACGCACGCACAGACTAACACAGGTGCACGCACAGACTAACACGCGCACGCACAGACTAACACACGCACGCACAGACTAACACACGCACAGACTAACACGCGCACGCACAGACTAACACACGCGCACGCACAGACTAACACACGCACGCACAGACTAACACACGCACAGACTAACACGCGCACGCACAGACTAACACACGCGCACGCACAGACTAACACGCGCACGCACAGACTAACACACGCGCACGCACAGACTAACGCACGCACAGACTAACACGCGCACGCACAGACTAACACGCGCACGCACAGACTAACACGCGCACGCACAGACTAACACACGCACGCACAGACTAACACGCGCACGCACAGACTAACACGCGCACGCACAGACTAACACACGCACGCACAGACTAACACACGCACAGACTAACACACACGCACGCACAGACTAACACACGCGCACGCACAGACTAACACACGCACGCACAGACTAACACACGCACGCACAGACTAACACACGCACGCACAGACTAACACACGCACGCACAGACTAACACACGCACAGACTAACACACGCACGCACAGACTAACACACGCACGCACAGACTAACACACGCACAGACTAACACGCGCACGCACAGACTAACACGCGCACGCACAGACTAACGCACGCACGCACAGACTAACACGCGCACGCACAGACTAACACACGCACGCACAGACTAACACGCGCACGCACAGACTAACACACGCACGCACAGACTAACACACGCACAGACTAACGCACGCACGCACAGACTAACACGCGCACGCACAGACTAACACACGCACGCACAGACTAACACGCGCACGCACAGACTAACACACGCACGCACAGACTAACACACGCACAGACTAACACACACGCACGTAGACGCATGCGGAGACGCGTGCACACACGGGGAGGCAGTGTCATCTGAGAACTTACCTTTCCGTGACCTTCGACATTTTCAAACAATGCCGGTCCAGTTGCATATAAAGGTACTTGATCTGCGGGAACACGAGACACGAGCCGCGGAATTACAGCACCCGCCACCGCTACGCGCGGCTTAACGCGGCCGTCCCCTCATCCCAGCGCAGCGCTGACCGCCAAGCGTCCTGGCGTGGCCTGCACAGTCCCAGCCCCGGTGCAAGGAAGCCTTCGCAAAAGATAAAGTATCCGCCCTCCTCCCCCCCCCCCCCGTATAACCCTCAACAGACTGTTGGGGCAAGTGCTGTTAGCGAGCAGCACCTGTGAGGGGGTGGGTGGCCAGCATCACGTCCTGGCCGCCTTTGTCTCCCCAGTGGCGATGTCTAACGCACACTGCACCAGGTACTCATTGTGAAGGTTGACTTAGCCTTGATGAGGCCCAGGACCGGTTCAAATATTCGCCACTGTTATTGCTTGTGAGTGGGAATCGACCTCGGGTAGGGAGATTTGTAGCGCGGCGCGCTAGCCGCGGCACTACTGCTTCCCATACGCTCACTCGCTCGTGCGCACACTCGCGCGCTCACACTCACGCGCTCACACTCACGCGCTCACTCACACACTCACGCGCTCACTCACACACTCACGCGCTCACACTCACGCGCTCACTCACACACTCACGCGCTCACTCACACACTCACGCGCTCACTCACACACTCACACGCCCGCTCAAGCGCACAGAAAAAGACAAAGATCCCCCGTATAGCCTTAACATAATGTAGGGACAAGTGCTGTTAGTGGGCACCTATGAAGGCCAGAACGGTACACGAGGAGGTGGGTGGCCAGCACCACGCCCGAACGCCTTTGTCTCCCCAGTGGCGATGTTGACACACTCACACACTCACTCACTAACCTGCTGCCTGAGTTCATCCTCCGTGGGAGGTTTCCCTCCTGGTGATGGGGACCGCACGGGGCTGTGTGTCCGCGCATCGTTCTGCAGGTTGTACACAGACTGGGCACGCGCATGGACAGAGGGGCAGAGGGGGCAGAGGGACAGGGACAAATACATTTGTACCGTATTGCACAGTTATTTGCGTACGCGTGTGGGGGAGCGGTAGTGTAGCGGTTAGCGCTACGCTGCGCTATGAACCCGGCGACCCGGGTTAGATTCCCGCTCACGGCCAACACCCAGTGACGATTATCTGAACCGGTCGTGGGCCTCCCCCCCCCCTAGGTCGACTCAGCCTCAAATGAGTACCTGGTGTGTAAACATCGCCACTGGGGAGACAAAGGCGGTCGGGCGTGGTGCTGGCCACCCACCGTGTCGGCCTTCATAGGTGCTGCTCGCTAACAGCACTTGCCCCTACAATCTGTTAAGGCTATACGGGGGAACTTTGTCTTTGTGTGCCCACGTGTGTGCCCACGTGTGTGCCCACGTGACTCACCTTCCGCGTTTTGCGAGGGTTGCGCATGCGGCACGACTTCTTGATGTCCACCTCGGTGGTGTTCACACAGCCAGGCTGCGTGGGGGCGGTGAGCGTTGCACACGGACACGTGTTACAACGCATATGCGCACACACACACACACATCACGCACGCGCGTGTACACGTGCACACACGTGTTACGCGCTCACATAGAGACCCATAGACTCAAGAGACCCATAGACGGACACGGGCTGAGTTGTAAACTGTGAGGTGGCACCCCTAGGGTGTCGCGACTGCCCTCACTGACCACAGGGCGATGTACGTCCCAAAAGGCTCGCTCCTGACTGTCCAGGATCTTCCTCTCCACCTTGTCCCTCTTCTTGTCCACCCTACGAGCTCACACACGCGCAAAGACAAAGATCCCCCGTGTAGCCTCAACAGAATCTTGAGGGCAAAGTGCTGATGAAGGCCGGCACTGTGGCACACGAGGGGGTGGGTGGCCAGCACCACGCCCGGCCGCCTTTGTCTCCCCAGTGGCGATGTTTACACACCGCACAAGGTTTTCATTCGAGGCTGAGTCGACCTAGGGGAGGCCCAGGACCGGTTCAGATACTCGTCACTGGTGTTGGCCGTGAGCGGGAATCGAACCCGGGTCGCCAGTTTCGTAACGCAGCGCGCTAACCGCTACGCTAACCGCTCTCCACACACACTGACACACACACACAACAACAACCGCCATTCGCCACTAAGTGGCGGTGACGTCACCACGACGCTTGTGCCAGGCCATGTGCACCTTGAGGCCACGTGAAGTGTCGAACACCCGCTGGCAGGAGATCACGGGGCAGACCCAAGTGCCACGGGTCGACTGACTGAGATGACTGGCTGATGCACCACCTGTGCCCCCTAATGTGCCAACTTGCTGTGCTTTAGCCACCCGGCGCTCCGCTCGTTGTTGTGAGCGTCGCTCCTCCGCCCTCCATTGTTGTTGAAGGGCGACTGCCTCCAACTGCCCAGTAGCGTCCTTCATGAGCCTCCTCCACTGAGGCCAATCTTGACACCGCTGGTACCAGTCATCGGCAAGTCCACTCAGCTCCACGTCCTCCTGTACCACATCACTCCATCTCTTCTCTAGCCCGTGCCGCGCCCGTTGAGCCCCCTCGATCCGGCCGAACAAAAGCTGTTTAGGCATGCGGTGGCTGGGTATGCGGGCTACATGACCCAGCCAACGCAGCCTTGCCTGCAGGAGGAGCTCACCGATGGGACCTTGCCCAGATCTTTCAAGAATTTGTGAGCTCCTCACACAATCCAGCCTGGTTAAACCCAGGATGGATCGTAGGCAGGCTAGCTGAAATGTTTCTAACCGGCGAAGATGTTCCATTAGGGGGTTCCACGTTTCGCAAGCGTAGAGAAGGGAGGGAATGACCGTGGCCGAGAAGACCTGAAGCTTTGTGCGGAGCGACAGACCAGGCAGCTTCCACACAGCGTTACGCAACCGATGAAAATATATTGCCGCTTGACTGATTCGGAGTGAGACCTCCGCTGCCAAACCGGAGCCGGTCATGAGCACACTGCCCAGGTATGGGAAACTCTCCACTCTCTCCACAACTACCCCATCACCGATTGGGAGTTGTGTGGGTGGGTTGCCCGATAGTACAAAATACCCAGGCAGGTGCTTAGTTTTGGTGGGGCTGATGGTAAGGCCCCACCTCTTAGTGGCACGCTCCAGTTTCAGCACACACGCACACACTGACACACACACTCACGCGCACACATTGACACACACACACGCACACACTGACACACACACACGCACACACTGACACACACACTCACGCACACACTGACACACACACACACGCACACACTGACACACACACACACGCACACACTGACACACACACCCACGCACACACTGACACACACACACACGCACACACTGACACACACACACACACACGCACACACTGACACACACACACACACACGCACACACTGACACACACACTCACGCGCACACACTGACACACACACTCACGCGCACACACTGACACACACACTCACGCGCACACACTGACACACACACACGCACACACTGACGCACACACACGCACACACTGACACACACACACGCACACACTGACACACACGCACACACTGACACACACACACACTGACACACACACTCACACACACACTGACACACACACTCACACACACACTGACACACACACACACACACTGACACACACACTCACACACACGCTGACACACACGCACACGCTGACACACACACTCACACACACACTGACACACACACACTGACACACACACACACACTGACACACACACTCACGCTCCCAGCTGCTGCACCACGGACCCCCCCACCGCCCCGGCCAGGGCCACGCCGCTTCCTGGAAAAATCTTTCTCGGTCGCCCTCTCGTGGCGGATGTCTGGACCCACAGGGCGGTGGGGAGCGGTGGTGCAGCGGTCAGCTGGTGGTGGGGAGCGGTGGTGCAGCGGTCAGCTGGTGGTGAGGGAGCGGTGGTGCAGCGGTCAGCTGGCGGTGAGGGAACGGTGGTGCAGCGGTCAGCTGGTGGTGGGGAGCGGTGGTGCAGCGGTCAGCTGGTGGTGGGGAGCGGTGGTGCAGCGGTCAGCTGGTGGTGGGGAGCGGTGGTGCAGCGGTCAGCTGGTGGTGGGGAGCGGTGGTGCAACGGTCAGCTGGTGGTGGGGAGCGGTTGTGCAGCGGTCAGCTGGCGGTGAGGGAGCGGTGGTGCAGCGGTCAGCTGGCAGTGAGGGAGCGGTGGTGCAGCGGTCAGCTGGTGGTGAGGGAGCGGTGGTGCAGCGGTCAGCTGGTGGTGAGGGAGCGGTGGTGCAGCGGTCAGCTGGCGGTGAGGGAGCGATTCTCCCTCCTCCCCCCTTCACCAACTCGCACGGACCAGCGGGGTGAAGTATGGCTAAACAAACCCCAACTCCCGTCGCCCCCACGGGCGTGAACGCGAAATCTCGCAAACCGAACTGTTTTTGTGTTTAAGTTTGTTGTCCTTCCACCGCACCTCCGGTCAGCACGCTTTGGCTACGTACGGTACAAAAGAAGCTCAACATACATCCGGCTAGAGGGAGCCTTCATCGATCCTACTCACTAACAGAAATTGCCCCGACAGTCGGTTAGGGCCACACGGGGTGGGGGGTCTTTGTGTGTGCTCACTTGGCCTGTGCTTCGGCCTGCATGAATATGAACTCCCACTTGCGAGCGAAGGCTCTCTGCAGTCGCGCCAAACTCTCCTGCAGCGCACAGAGACAAAGGCACAGACACACACACATGCACGCAGACCCACACACATAGACGCACGCAGATGCACGCATGCACACACAAGTGCCGAAATTAACAACAAGCCAGAATAATTAGGCAACGATGATGACGAACCCACTTGCTGTACTGCCACCATACCCCGGTCACAATCCAGGCGATGTTGAACGAGACGCCCACGGGTAAGAATGGAGCTTCGCGCGTGAGTGAGGAGTGAGTGAGTGAGTGTGTGAGCTAACGAGAGAGTGAGCAAGCGAGTGAGCGTGTGAGTGAGCGCATGAGTCAGTGGGCGAGTGAGTGAGCGCGTGAGTCAGTGAGCGAGTCAGTGAGAGCATGAGTCAGTGAGCGAGTGAGTGCGTGAGTCAGGGAGCGAGTGAGTGAGCGCGTGAATCAGTGGGAGAGCGAGTGAGCGAGTGAGTCAGCGAGCGAGTGAGTGAGCGCGAGAGTCAGTGAGCGAGTGAGCGCATTAGTCAGTGGGCGAGTGAGTAAGCGCGTGAGTCAGTGAGCGAGTGAGTGAGTGAATCAGTGAGCGAGTGAGTGAGTGTGTGAATCAGTGAGCGAGTGAGTGAGCGCGTGAGTGAGCGAGTGAGTGAGTGCGTGAGTCAGTGAGTGAGTGAGGGCATGAGTCAGTAAGCGAGTGAGTGAGCGTGTGAGTGAGGGCATGAGTCAGTGAGTGAGTGAGTGAGCGCGTGAGTCAGCGAGCGAGTGAGTGAGCGCGTGAGTCAACGAGCGAGTGAGTGAGCGAGTGAGTGAGCGCGTGAGTCAGTGAGTGAGTGAGTGAGGGCGTGAGTCAGCGAGCGAGTGAGCGAGCGAGTGAGTGAGGGCGTGAGTCAGCGAGTGAGTCAGCGAGCGAGTGAGTGAGGGCGTGAGTCAGCGAGCGAGTGAGTGAGCGAGTGAGTGAGGGCGTGAGTCAGCGAGCGAGTGAGTGAGCGCGTGAGTCAGCGAGTGAGTCAGCGAGCGAGTGAGTGAGGGCGTGAGTCAGTGAGCGAGTGAGTGAGGGCGTGAGTCAGTGAGTGAGCGAGCGAGTGAGTCAGCAAGCGAGTGAGTGAGCGATCTGCCAACCCTCGCTGGCTCCACAGCGCTACAAGTCAGCCACGTGCAACGGCCTGGCCAGCAGCAGTAGCAGGCGACCGTGAGCCCAGCACTTACGGCTTCGTAGTCGGCCAGCTCCAGACGAGCCTTGTTCTGCATCGCCCTCTTGCACAGGTACACGGCTGCAGGTGACGAAAGGACAAAGTTTAACCTCCTTCTCCGATGGGTGGCTGTTCGGGACACGGGAGTCCGACATTTCAGAGCTTCTCCCTGATGAATCACGTCCCTGAAGAACGCTCGTTGCGTTCCACGCGATTTATAATTCGCCTGCGCGTGTCGTTCAACGTCACCTGCCCTGGCCAAGCCGGGTTGCTTGGCAGCCTCGAGATGCGTGGCTTTAAACTCAGCCGCTTTCGCTGAGCCATCGTTTGTGATAGCCAGGTCGCTTCTAAAAAAAGAGCTGTATAAGCTAATATTCTTGGGTCTTTCGATAAAGTCACGTAGATAGGTTCAAAGAAAATAATAAACATATCTATGTGACTTTACCAAAAGATGCAAGAATATGGATTCCTGCAGTCTCGAAAGCTTTAAGTCATTATATAAGCTCAGTGGGGCCTTACCATCACCCTGCCATACATAGCAGGAGTAACCAAAAAGATTTCCAAAATCATGAACAAACACAAGATCCAGGTCAGATTTAACGCAGTACATAACATTCGTGATCTGATCCCGTCTGTGAAAGACAAGATTCCTGACATGCAATATCCCGGCGTCTACAAACTAAGCTGTATCTGCGGCAGCAGATACATTTGGGAAACGTAGCAACATGTCTCGGACCGTGTCCGTGAGCTTAAGGCAGATTTGAAACACGGCAGGACCAATACTTCTGCCATGGCTGATCATTATTTTAATGCGGTGGGCTCACACGAAATGTATTTCTTTAAGACGATGGTACTTTGCAAGCCTACTGGCTATCATCAAAGATTAGTTCATGAAGCCATCCATATATACAGACACAGAGACAATTTCATCCGAGAGAAAGGTTATCGACTCAGCAATCATTGGAAAGATGTCATCAACCACTTTGGGTCATGACTTGATTTGTGTTTTCTTGTCCACTTCCACCATCAGCAGTGTGGGTGTGTGGAGCGAGGTGCAAGGCTTTGATTGGTGTAGACCTACTGCCGGTGTCAGAGACCTCTCCAACATTAACATTAGCTGCCCCGCCCATCTCTAAACCTTTATAAGCAGCTCTCTGATTGGTGTAGACCTACTGCCGGTGTCGGAGACCTCTCCTACATTAACATTAGCTGCCCCGCCCATCTCTAAACCTTTATAAGCAGCTCTCTGATTGGTGTAGACCTACTGTCGGTGTCGAAGCTTTCTCGGACATTAACATTAGCTTCCCCGCCCACCTCTAAACCTTTATAAACAGCTCTCTGATTGGTGTAAACCTACTACCGGTGTCGAAGCTTTCTCCGACATTAACATTAGCTGCCCCGCCCCCATCTCTAAACCTTTATAAACAGCTCTCTGATTGGTGTAGATCTACTGCCGGTGTCGAAGCTTTCTCCTACATTAACATTAGCTGCCCCGCCCCCTATCTCTAAACCTTTATAAACAGTTTGCCCTCAGATGCTAACCTCCCTGTTCCTGATGACGACCGCTTGTGTTGCGATCGAAACGTCGTGATATTTTCATTCACTTTGTTTTTATTATTTTTTTTGTCATTGTTTTTTTTTTTATCTACGTGACTTTACCGAAATAACCATAGAATATAACAAAAAAAGTTTAGTTTTAGTTTCATCGCATGTACGTATGTATGTTGAACTTCTTTCACACCGTACGTAGCCAGCCGCGCTAATCGGAGGTGCGGGAGAAGGAAAACAAACTAAACACAAAAAGCAGTTCTAAAGAAATTAGTTTTCGATTCAGATTAGCAAATGCATCGCTCCGATGGCTTCCTAATATCGGAAGAGCGTTCCAGACAGCCATAGAAGCGCAGATGAAAATGGCCACGTGATGCGGTGACCGTCTTTGTTGGGTGGCTGAGCCAGAAGCCGCCGCCGCTGCTGTGAGGTTGACAGGAGTTCTAGTGGTGAAGGTTTATGCACTTCGTGACACAACGAAAAGCCACTTCGTTGAACTATCATTTGGTAAGATAAATGTTTAGTTTTATTTGTATATTGTTTTCGTGATTTGCTTTCCTTTCCTATACTTTGCACTCCTGCCGTGTTTTCGTATTGTTTGTTGTAGTGACGTTCTGACGCTTGTGAAAAATAACTTCATAGCTCATCGCATTCCTCCAATGTATATATAAATATTCTGCTTCTGAACAATATCATTGACATCATTATCGTAGTCATTGTCATCACAATCATCATCATTATCGGCCTCATCATTATCTCTATTGCTGTGACATCATCACTATTGACGTGACATCATCACTATTGACGTGACATCATCTCTATTGACGTGACATCATCACTATTGATGTGACATCATCACGGGAATGATTATTAATGGAGCCACTGTCACTCGGCAGGGTTGAGTCGCTCCCGACACAAATGTCAATAAGTGATCAATACCTCGTCTACCTCCCCCTACCCCCTCACCCCCCCCTCACCTCCCCTGCCCCTAACCAGGTGCGGACATCGTGCAGTGGCTCATGAGAAACCTCACCATTGACGACCCAGGTGAGGGTTCCTCACCTCTACATCTCACCACTCACCTGCACACGTGACTCCTCACCTCTTCATCTCACCACTCACCCGTCTCCTCACCTCTTCATCTCACCACTCACCCGTCTCCTCACCTCTCTGCATCTCACCACTCACCTTGCACACCTGAATCCTCGCCTCTTCATCCCACCTGTAAACTCACCTCTCGATCTCACACCTGTCGTTGTAATGTTCTGACCCGCCCCGACTGGGCATCTGTTTAAAAAGAGCTTTACAGCTCATCGGATTCCTCCGGTCTAAACAAACGTTCCGATCCCGACTCTGTCTACTGCGGCACTCTTCGGCTGACGCAAGTCTACCGCCGCGGTGACCCGAGGGGGTCTCTGCACTGGAAACGAACTGAACTCGTCGAATCGTCGGTCAACCCCGGCCACCGGAGCCGGATCCCGGTCCGCCCCCCGCCGTGACCCCGGGCCAGAAGTGGGACACACCCAACAGACATGGATCGGCACGAGAGTGGATCCCGGGAGAAATCCGACGGTGTACGAGGCTATTCCCGTCGCGGATATCCGCTCTCACCGTAGTCGATGTTCTCCGGCTCCCAACAGTTGGAGGGCCAGAAGTAGGGCGTCTAAGGGGGGGGGGGGGCAGCGGAGAGAAACAACGTCGAGGGTTTACACAGAGCGGCGTCGCTTAGGCAACCGCACACCGTGTGGAACCCGCACGCTTCACCACGGATCCTTGTGCAGGGAAATTGAGTTTTGAGGTCCGTACAGCGTACAGCCGTTTCAATACGGGCACACAACAAAATGCCCATTTGTTTGCGTTTCTCCCTTGTGATGGGACTTTGTAGGATGAACGTTGAGATTTATAAGGGCACGGGGTGACCAATAAGGTCTGAGTTGGTCTGTAATAAGGTAGGGGGGCACTGATAAGGGGTTGACAGGTTTGCAATGGGCGTGCCGAGGTTAAGCCTTTCCCCGTTCCGAGACGTCTGCAAGTTGGCAGGGTGGGGTGGGGTGGGTCCCGTTCACCGCTGAATCGTGCAAGCGGGTTCAGCATTCATTTTATTTAGAGAGAGGCGTAGTAGTAGTAGCAGGGCTGTTTTTTAAAATCGTTGTTACTCGCCGCAGAGAACCGTAGCGACACGACCGCCGCCACTCTGCGATAGCCAAAACTGTGCAACGCGCCCTCCCGCGTGGCCTTGTGTGAACCTCCGTACCGATAGAGTTACTTTATTTAATTTTTTCTTCCGATTCCGTTCCGATGACGTACAATGACATCTGTGAAACGTCATCGCAATGGAACCGGAAGAAAAACTGACGATGTACACGGACGTCATTCTGTTCGCACAGAGACACAAAGACTTATGCCGAGACACATAGACTCATACGGAGACCCATACAACATAGAAGCACACAGAGACCCATAGAGTCAGAAAGACCCATAGACATATGTAGCGACCCATGGCTTCGCATAGAGACCCTTAGACTAAGTGAGAGAATCATACATCGTATTTATTACACGCTTGGGAGGAAACCGGAGCACCCGGAGAAAATCCACGTGTGCGAGGGGTGGGGGGGGGGGCAACGCTCGATCCCCGTACGGAAGGAACAGATGGAGAGACGAGTCCACTTGCTCGACGCTCACGGGTAGAAGGGAGTTTCGCGCCATCTGCGCGGTGATCCACAAACCCTCACCGCCGCCCCTGCCGCTGCCTCTACAGCGCCGGGTTAGAGGCGGCCGCCACCGCCGGCCGGGCTAACTGCGCCGTCGGCACCGCTCGTCACGAGAGGAGCACTGTTTGGTAAACCTTGCAGAGCGCTGCATAGCCCCCCCCCCACCTCCCCTTGATGAAGAATGGGCCGTGGAAGGGGATATTACAGAACAGCTTCCGAGATTCCTGTCACGTTACCCCCTGTTGTCGATGCCAACAGCACTAGGGGGCAGCACAGCGCCACGCATCCCGAACGGATAGAGAGAGAAACGTCTCCCTGCGTTGTTGAGGCACGGCAGCTCAAAGGGCGAGAACCTCCACCCCCCCCACTCCCCCCTTCTTCCATTGTCTTCCCCTGCCCCTTAATACCACTGCTGGCCTCGCCACGCTAGGGCAGCGAGCCCGGACGCCCCCTCCCCACCTGCCAAGTCGCTCCTGCACAGTCACGTGCCTGCACAGTCACGTGCCTGCACACTCACGCGCCTGCACAGTCAGTCACGTGCCTGCACAGTCAGTCACGTGCCTGCAGTCACGCGCCTGCACAGTCAGTCACGCGCCTGCACAGTCAGTCACGCGCCTGCACAGTCAGTCACGTGCCTGCACAGTCACGCGCCTGCACAGTCAGTCACGCGCCTGCACAGCCAGTCACGCGCCTGCACAGTCAGTCACGCGCCTGCACAGCCAGTCACGCACCTGCACAGTCAGTCACGCGCCTGTATATAACCGGGCATCTGCGAATCGATTGCGCGCCGGTGAAAAAGAAGTGCTTCACAGCTCCTCGGATTCCTCCAGTCTATTTTCTAAAAAAATATATATTCTGATTCAGCAGTCACACCTGCCAAGCAAATCACACCACCAGCAAAGCCCCCTCCCCGCACGCCCGGCGACGCTCACCTGGAACCGGTAGAAGGTGTTGTCGTCTTTCAGGGTGAGCACGTGGTCCGAGATGGGGAAGAAATATCCGTGAGCAGACACGAGCGTGCCCAGGTGCAGCGCTTCCGCTGTGCACGAAGACAAAAGTGTCCATCAACCCCCAGCACGGCCCCCAGACAGCCACCGTATAGCCTTCAGCAAACCGCTGGGGCAAGTGCTGTTGTATGACGAACTTGTCTTATTGCCAGAAATGGCAGAAACCTAGAATTATTAGAATTTTTCATCGTTTTTGGACACTGGTTTAAAAAAAAAGGTTTCTCTTAGATGTAACTGATTTGACCCGTGCTATGAGGGGCCGTCCATAAATGACGTCACGCGATTTTGGACGGTTTTTGACCCCCCCCCCCTCGTCACACGGCGTCACAAAAAGTCAGACACCCCCCCCCTCAAATATGACGTCACAAAGCTCTCCCCCCCCCAAAAAAAACATGCTTCAAATTGCTTTAAACTATTGTCATTGTAGTGCGTATTTAATGTGGCGCTGCACTCTGATGTTGTAGGAGAAAACATTTATTAAAAAGTCTATTTAATGAAGTGGAACGTGTAGTCTATATTTATTTAAAGTTGCGCATATTGATGTGACGTCACATTTCTCAAACCCCCCCTCGTCACAAATCGTCACAAATGTCTGACCCCCCCCCCTCACCCCCCTAGGTGCGTGACGTCATTTTGTGACGGCACCTTGGTGCACTGATACCAGCATTGTCTTGGCACTGTTCGCCTGATTTGCGTCGTTCTCTGGTGTGGCACTGGTGGTGAGACGAGGCCAGACTGAAGAAGGCTGCCTGCCGTCTCTGGTGGCGTAGACCACTCAGTTTCAGAGACGATGCATCGAATATTATCAGAGCCACGTGTTTGTTTGCATGTTCGCCACAAGTACACGCGCCTAATGCAGACTTCATGCCTCGCAAAAAGGCTTATATTTGGTGTTTTCTAGTTGGTGTTTCATTGCCAGAAAAGAGGGGGTAAAACACATTCTTATTTTTCATCGTCGTTTTGAACTTCGTTCGCACTGTACGTAGCCAACTGTGCTGATGGGAGTTGTGGGGAAATAGCACCGACGAAGGCCGGCGCTGTGGCACACGAGGGGGTGGGTTGCCAGCACCACGCCACGGCCGCCTTTGTCTCCCCAGGTGCGATGTTTACTACACACCGCATCAGGTACTCATTTGAGGCTGAGTCGACCTAGGGGGAGGCCCAGGACCGGTTCAGATAATCGTCACCTGGTGTTGGTGCAGGTGAGTGGTGAGATGAAGAGGTGAGGAGTCACGTGTGCAGGTGAGTGGTGAGATGAAGAGGTGAGGAGCCCTCACCTGGGTCGTCAATGGTGAGGTTTCTCATGAGCCACTGCACGATGTCCGCACCTGGTGAGGGGCAGGGGAGGTGAGGGGGTAGGGGGAGGTAGACGAGGTATTGATCACTTATTGACATTTGTGTCGGGAGCGGCTCAACCCTGCCGAGTGACAGTGGCTCCATTAATAATAATTCCCGTGATGATGTCATGTCAATAGTGATGATGTCACGTCAATAGTGATGTCACGTCAATAGTGATGTCACGTCAATACTGATGATGTCACGTCAATAGTGATGATGATTTGACCAATAATTATGACAGTGATGATTGTGATGATACAATAACGATAATAATGACCATGGCATTGTTTATAATCATGTGTTTATACTGGAGGAATCCGATGAGCTATCAGTACAAAACACGATAGGAGTGCAAAGTATGCGAAAGGTAAACAAATGAAACTAAACTATGTTTGTTTTACCAGGTAAAGCCCATTGAGCTACTAACTTATTTTTCACAATCGGCCTCCCCACAAATGATAATAGCTCAACGAAGTGGAGCTCGTCATCACGTGGGTAAGACATTATAGACGCTGGTGATGACGACGATGGTGATGACGACGACGATGGTGATGACGATGACGATGATGACGATGGTGATGACGGTGATGGTGATGACGACGATGGTGATGACGACGACGATGGTGATGACGATGACGACGATGGTGATGACGACGATGATGATGACGATGGCGATGACAACGATGACGATGGTGATGACGACGATGGTGATGACGATGACAACGATGACGATGGTGATGACGACGATAGTGATGACAACGACGATGATGATGACGACGATGGCGATGACGACGATGACGATGGTGATGACGATGACAACGATGACGATGGTGATGACGATGGTGATGACGACGACGATGGTGATGACAACGATGGTGATGACGACGATGGAGATGACGACGATGGTGATGACGATGACAACGATGACGATGGTGATGACGATGGTGATGACGACGACGATGGTGATGACAACGATGGTGATGACGACGATGGAGATGACGACGATGGTGATGACGATGGTGATGACGACGACGATGACGACGATGGTGATGACGACGATGGAGATGACGACGACGACGATGGTGATGACGATGGTGATGACAACGACGATGATGATGACGACGATGATGATGACGACGATGGAGATGACGACGACGATGATGATGACGACGATGGCGATGACGACGATGGCGACAATGACGAAGCAACGAGGGGAGGGAGGAGGAGGGGGAGGAGGGCGTCAGCGTCTACCGGTGACGACGCTGGGGATCTTGGAGAGGAAGCTCTTGACTGTGCGGATGGGAACTCCGCTCGTCTCATCCTGCATCTTCCTCACCACCTCCTCCATCTGCTCCTCCTCGCGGGGTGGGTAGTGGGGAGGGCAGGGTGGGGAGGGCAGGGTGGGGAGGGCAGGGTGGGGCAGGGAGGGAGGTAGTGGGGAGGGTGGGGAGGGTGGGGGAGGTAGTGGGGAGGAGGAGGAGACGGCACCACACAAAGACAGACGGATCGCCCCCTGTCAGCATCACTCGCTGGCTGTTCGTCCGGAGGAGAAGGCACGTGGATCAGCGGTACCCAGAGGCACTGGCTAGGAGATGTTAACTCCCTCGCCTGGTATGCAGGAGTTCGTGTGTTCGATCCCGACCCTGACGATGCCTGCTGCACGTTTGGATCGTACTCTGGCCCGTGGTCGCGTGGATTTTTCTCCGGGTCCCTCCACATTTAGAGTCAACATCGCGCGTTGACTCTAAAAGTGCCTGCTTTAAATATCCACGTGACGATGATGCTAAGCCACTGCTTCGTCGGGCTATCATTTGTGATGGCCAGGTCGTTTCTAAAAAAAAGAAGCGCTACATAGCTCAGTGGGGCCTTACCTGGTGAAATAAAAATTGCTTAAGAATAGAAATCCTAGCAAATCGGACTTCCCACCACCGTCTCGGGCTGCTGGGAGCGGACCTCCGACGCCTCAACGCTCACTTGAGCAGGACATCGTCTTTGACCTTCGCTGGTTTATGTTTAGTGTTTGTTTTGCAATCATAAGGCCACGCTCGTAAGTTTGGAGACTAAATCCGCCTCACGGGCTGAATTATTAACGGCGTCCTCACGGGGGGCGGGGGTAGCGGAGTGCGATCGTAGGGAGCACCCCCCCCACCCCCCCTCCCTCTACCCCCCCCCCCCCCGCAGCCCGGTCGGCCCGCTGGCGGAAGGGCAGCCCTAATTAAAGAGGCGCCGTCTTTGATGGGGGGGGGGGGGGTTGGGGTGGAATAAATTAGGGGGGGCCCACAAATCCCACGTGTGCGGATTCTCAAAGACGCGAGGGGGCTGCCATCCTCAGCTGCGTGCTTCGGTCAGGGGCTGTCTCCTCTTGAGATGTTAAACTAAAAACTGGGACGTGTCACGGGAAGAAGAAGAAGAAGAACGAGACAAAAAGAGGGGGTGACCTGTGGATAAAAGTATCGTCTTGTATGAAGTTTATGTGTGTTGAATTTATTTCGCACTGTACGTAGCCAACCGTGCTAATCAGAGGTACGGGGGAAAGGACAACAAACTAAACACAAAAATAAGTTGTAGAATAAATTAGTTTTCAATCTCGACGATTATTTAAAAACGCATAGCTCCAGCGGCTTCCTAATATCGAAAGGAAGATCATTCCAGACGGCCGCAGAAGCAGCGCATCTCTCCACGGTGGTGAGATGTTAACTACCTCGCCTGGTACACAGGAGGTCGTGGGTTCGATCCCAACCCTGACGCCTGAATATTTGGAGTTTGCGTGTCTCTCCCCGTGGTTGCGTGAATTTTTATCTGGGTCCTCCGGTTTTCCCCTCCACATTGAGAATCAACGTCAGGCGTTCAGACTATTTGGCTGCTATAACTTTCCACGTGATAAGCCACTTCGTGGAGTTATCATTTGTGGCAAGGTCGCTTCTGAAAAAAATAGTGAGCATCTCGCCACCGTGGCGCTGTAGGTTTCCCCTGGGTAGTCCAGAAATGTTCCGGTTTGTTTTATCATAAAAATCTAACATCATTCGAAGAAACCTCCATCTGCGAGCCACTTTGTGGCAGTCGCATCGCTCGCTCACAACCTTCGGCTGTGGATCACGGTCGGGGGTTTTTCCTCATTGTTGTTGTGCAATCGTTGGTGGCCCGGACGAGATCATCAGCTCGCTACGCGGCTCAATCGATGCCGGGGGTGGGGGCGGCTTAGACTCGGATTCGAACCCAGGCCCTCAACGGTGAAGGCTCTGGCGTCTCCGCCGTCGACCGGAGCCACCGGGGGGCCGCTTGCGAAGATGGCTCCTCATTTTGCTGTTGGTTGCGCTGGGATGTGAAACGTTTGGCGCATAGCCGCCCTTCGCTGGCCGTGTGCGACGGATGAATGATGTCAATGACGCGAGCTCGTCGATCACTCTCCCGATTCTAATCAGCGCGGTTACTCTAACGGATCGGGCAACGTTGAAAAAATATAAATAAAGTATTGCCTCCATTGCTATGTGTGCCGCTGGACGGGAAGTAATGAGCGTGGCTTGGTGATGGCATGGGCGTGGCTCGTATGGAGGTATCCAGCTTTCGGGAGGCAACAGGATGTGGCGGGGGTGGCCCCCATATTTAAATGGAACCGAGTAATTGACAACAAGAAAAGTAGTTGATTCAAATGTATCGTCGATTGATCGACTCAATCGATTAATAGAGTTACTCCACTACTCGTCCCGGCTCCACTCAAAATACGGAATGGCTTGACTCTCCATCGGGATTTTAAGACGCAAACAAAAGAGCGGCCGATAACACAAAGATCCCCCGTGCAGCCTCAACAGACTGTTGGGGCAAGTGCTTTGAGCAAGTAGCACCTATGAAGGCCAGCACGGCAAACGAGGGGGTGGGTGGCCAACAACACGCCCGACCGCCTTTGTCTCCCCAGTGGCCATGTTTACGCACGGCACCAGGAACTCATTTTAGGATGAATCTACCTGGGAGAGGCCCAGGATCCGTTCAGATAATCGTCACCGGTGTTGGAGCAGGTGAGTGGTGAGATGTGGAGGTGAGGAGTCACGTGTGCAGGTGAGTGGTGAGATGTGGAGGTGAGGAGTCACGTGTGCAGGTGAGTGGTGAGATGTGGAGGTGAGGAGTCACGTGTGCAGGTGAGTGGTGAGATGAAGAGGTGAGGAGTCACGTGCGCAGGTGAGTGGTGAGATGTGGAGGTGAGGAGTCACGTGTGCAGGTGAGTGGTGAGATGTGGAGGTGAGGAGTCACGTGTGCAGGTGAGTGGTGAGATGTGGAGGTGAGGAGTCACGTGTGCAGGTGAGTGGTGAGATGTGGAGGTGAGGAGTCACGTGTGCAGGTGAGTGGTGCGATGTGGAGGTGAGGAGTCACGTGTGCAGGTGAGTGGTAGCTATGAGCGGTAATCCAACTCTGGTTGCCGGGTTCATGGCGCAGCGCGCTAACCGCTACGCAACCGCTCCCCACAAGTACGCACGCACCCACACACGCACCCACCCACGCACGCACCCACACACGCACCCACACACGCAATCCACACACGCACCCACACACGCACCCACCCACGCACGCACCCACACACGCACCCACACACGCAATCCACACACGCACCCACACACGCACGCACCCACGCACGCAACCCACGCACGCACGCACCCACATACGCACGCAACCCACACACGCACCCACGCACGCGTAAGGAAACCGCAAAATTATTCCGCCGTCGCAAAAGAATCCACATTTGTAAGTGGCGACCACTCATGCCATTAAACACTTTCCCCCAACACCCCCCCCCGCACCGTCCCAACCCGCTACGACCCCGGCCGCTCGTACACCGCTTTGTCATTTTACGCGACGTCGATTTTACGCGATTAACGCTGACCCCGGCAGCCACCCCCCCACTCCCCACCGCACGAAAACCGGTCAGGCGATTTGCCCCCCGTGTCACGGGGCCGAGGCCAGACCTCCCACCGGCGGGCGGGTTGGCTTGCTTCAAAGCGACGCGTTCAACGAAAAACAACAACATCGCTGTGCCACGGGGTGCGGGCCAGGCCTTGCCGGCACTCCCAGGGGGGCCCCGAGGTCAGACGGCGTCTCGACAGGGCCCCGGGCATTTCCATCCCGCCGTTAAATAAAGGGCAGCGCTTTCCCGTCGCCCGCCAAACCACCCACCCGTCCCCGGCGACTTTCGTGGTGCCAGGTCACCCTCGCAAACGAGGCTCTGTCCTCGGCTTCTTGAGTTCTCGCCTGGGGACGCGAAATAAACCCTCGACACCTTGACACTACGACGAGCGCTACGGCGATCGGCTGAGCGAGGGCACGGGCGTAAAGCTCCGCGTTCAAACGCGGACATCCACGCAACCTCAACGTGGGCCGGGCTCCACGCGGCGCACGTGGGAAGCCATCCGCTGACTTCCTCAATGGGGGTGGGGTTTTTTTTTCTCCCCACCCTCCGAATTCCGGGAGATTGTCCTGATGACGTCTGAGGCATTCTCAACCGAAACGTCGGGCACAATGGCTTTGTGTCTTCGGCTCAACTGTCCGCCGAACCAAAGCAACTACAGCAAAGCACGCTCATGGATGGGAGTGGTGGTGGTGGGACAAAGACAACCCGTGTAGTCTTGACAGACTGTTGGGGCAAGCGCTGATAGTAGCGAGTAGCAGCAGCACCTCAGAAGGCCGGCACTGTGGCCAGCACCACGCCCGGCCGCCTTTGTCTCGCCAAGCGCTGCTGTTTGCACCTTGTGCCGGGTACTCATTTGAGGCCGAGTCGACCAAGGGGAGGAGGCCAAGGGACCGGTTCAGATTGTCATCGTCACCGTTGTGTCGGTGGCCGCGAGCGGGAATCAACGTCGCTCTGCCTGGGCAACACGGAACCCCTCCGCGCATTCGCATTGAGCCATCGGCATTCATCTCCTGTGCCATGGCGGTGCGCAGGTATATCCACGGGAAAAGCCGTGCAAAAATGGGGCCCTTTTTCCCGGTATCAAAGTATGAAAAAAAACAAAGAACGGGTTGTTACCCTTTCTGGCAATACAACAGGAGGTGTTAAGATGTCCAAACACCAAATGGAAACCTGTTGCAAGAAATCAAGTCCGCATGAACCGCCCGCCCGCCCGCCCGCCCCAAGAGTGACGCTTGGGCTTCCGTCAACCCCCAAGCTCGTGCGGCACGCAGGGTGAGTGGCACGCTGGCGGCCGCGCGTGGTGGGGTAAGGCGTGGGCACTGCCCACCTCTTCCCAGACGCGAGGCCAGAGTGGTGGAAGAGTAGGCCAAATGCGCCGCCTAAGAGCAGGGGCTCTGCGACCTAAAATAACGAGAAGAGACATTTGGCAAGGGCCGAGACGCAGCGTGGCG